CTCGGATCAATTTAAACTGATTCATTTAGCACTTGCTAATTAAAATAACAATACAATCAAAACAGTGGTTATTTCTAATATTATTGTGAAGTGATTGACAATTCCTTAAACTGAATATTGTATTTTTACTGAATGTTTAGAAAGTCAAATGGTCGATTCTTTTAAATAAAACAAACCATAAAAAATCTATCAATACAGACACGCATTTACTCTATACAATTCAATGTAGAAATGACAATGACATTAAAAAGTTATTTCTAATGTTACTGCAAAGTGATTGACAATTGCTTAAACTGAAAATTTGGTTGATTAAAAATCAATTAATAAAAACAGACAAGGTTCAAGGTTCAATTTATTTATAAAGCACATTATAATACAACATGAGTTGACCAAAGTGCTGTACATACGAAAGAATAAAACTGTACATAACATGCTGTACAGAAGATAGAAAGTAAAAAAAAAAAAAATAATAATAAAAAAAAACAAGCCTACATTCACTCTAAAATTCAGTGTAGCACTTGATAATGTAGAAATTGCATTACAATTTAAAAAGGTTATATATAATGTAGGGCTGTGCAAAAATTGATTGCGATTAATCGCATCCAAAATAAAAGTCTGTGTTTACATTATATATTTGTGTGTGCTGTATATAATTATTTTGTATCTATAAATACCTATGCATGCATGTATATATTTAAGAATTATTTGTGCTTAAATTCTGTATATATATATATAAATGCATAATCTATATTATATATAAATATAAATATTTTATATATGAATAACACATTTTCTTAAATATATACATGCATGTGTGTGTATTTATATATACAAAATAATTATATACAGCTCACACAAATATATTATGTAAACACAAACTTTTATTTTGGATGCGATTAATCGCAATTAATTTTTGCATAGCCCTAATATAATGTTATTGTGAAGTGATTGACAATTGCTTAAATATACTTACTGAATGCTTTTTTTTTTATCAAATATTTGATTTAAAAATTAATAAAACATACATTCACACTATAACTTTCAATTTAGCGCGTATTCATTTTTTTATTAGCGTAATGTTTGGTAATGTTGATCTATTTAGCTATGGTTAGACATTTCATAATGGATATCCCGACTTGACTTATGGACTTCAAATGAGTCGTGAGTTGCACAAATGGACTCCCTCCCGTACGTTCTTGTTTTCTCCATCTTCTTCACCCGCAGATTCTCGGGATCCACCTCAACGGCTGGAAGTTGGACTTTAAGCTGGGTGTTTATGTGCTGGGGCTGTACGCCGTCTTCCTCTGTTTCTCCATCATGATCGAATACAACGTCTTCACCTTCGTCAATATACCCATGTGTCGGGAAGACTAGAGCCTCACCAACCGCTCCATATCCCAGAATGCACCATCCTGATGTCACGCTCACCCTGAGTTTCTCCGCTCACCATCATCACCTCGGACGGGATGAATGTTAGTCTTCATCGGGACTAACGCTTGATTCACTGTGGACAGAGAAGATCTTCCAGTCAAGCTCATTTTCCTGACCTCGAGCCCCAGAAAGAGGAACTTCTCCTCGGCAGCTCTTCTTTTCCGGCTGAGATCTTTTTTGATATCCCAAAATGCATTGCGTGTCCACCATGGATTGCATCAGGAACATATGGGCGCCTCAATAAACATTCACTCTTTTCTACACACCTGCTTTTTCTTTTTCTTTGTCACTTTGTGGAAAAAAGATCTTTTTGTAAGCGTGTCTCAAATATCCGAGTCGAAGCTCTTCACGAAGTCTTCATCGCTCATACAACTGTGAATTATTTTGCTGCATATCACTTTTTTAGCCCTAAAAGGAAGCGAAATTTGTAGACAAACTGGATAAAAAAGTTTGTGAGACAACTTTTAAGTTGGCTTGAAAAAGCATAGCCAGAAAGTTTGAAGGTAGTACGTTCAAAGAGAAAGAAAGAAAGAATAGTTAGAAAGAAAGAAAGAAAGAAAGAAAGAATAGTTAGAAAGAAAGAAAATTTAGAAAGAAAAAGAAAGAAAGAATAGTTAGAAAAAAGAATAGAAACAAAGAACAAACAAATAGTTTAAAGAAACAAAAAGTAGTTAGAAAGAAAGGTAAGAAATAATGAAAGAATAGTTAGAAACAAAGAAAGTAAATAGAAACATTGGGATGAAAGAAAGAAAGATTAGTTAGAAAGAAATAAAGAAAGATTAGTTAGAAAGAAATAAAGAAAGATTAGTAAGAAAGAAATAAAGATCAGTAAGAAAAAAAGAAAGATTAGTAAGAAAAAAATAAAGATTAGAAAGAAAGAAAAAATAAAGAAAGATTAGTTAGAAAGAAAGAAAAAATAAAGAAAGATTATTTAGAAAGAAAGAAAAATAGTAAAGATAGATTAGTTAGAAAGAAAAGTTAGAAATAAACAAAATTTAAAAAAAGAAAGAAAACGTATAAAGAAAGAAAGAAACAAAAGTTAGAAAAAAAGAAAGAATAGTTAGAAAGAAAGAAAGATTAAGAAACAAAGAAAGGAAAGATGATATTCACTAATGATAGCGTGCGTGAGATCGACAATCGACTAGTGTTGACTTTGACCGAAAACAGGAAGTAAATACAGGTATGTGAGCCGGCTGAATTAACATCATTTTTACTAATATCTTTCACGTCTATTTTAGTCAGATTGACCGTGGTCACTCTTAATAACACCACTCACATATGGCTGCGCACTCGTAATGACAAATCAAGGATGTTAAGAGCCTAAAAGCAGGTTTAGAACACGCCCCATTGAAGTCAACACGGTGCGAATTTTAATAACACGGTGATTTTTGTCTGTACTGACAGCACTCCAAATGTACAAAAAATTAGCTCAATGTTAAAATTCTCCTTTTAGAAAACAAGACTTATATCTTAAGTCATTTTGTGGGATGATTCTTAAATGAAGATTTATTTGAGAAGCAAAATATAAAGTCTTGTTTTCTGTGAAAAGTGTTTTCGCAACTGTAAATATTTTAGACAGGATGACGTGCAATATTTCTTCATTACTCTTGCATTTCTAAACACTTTTCTTCTTTTTTAAGTGTGAATCCAACTAAATTCAGTCAGGTTTATGCTTTAAACTAATTGCCGATGATTCAGTAATTCATTTTAAAATAAATTGATGACATTTTTCGGTAAACAACACCTAATATCTTCAGTCATTTTGCTTCTCAAGTGAATGTGTCTTCGTTTAAGAATGTTTAGACACTTGCACTAGAAAACAAGACTGAGGAATGACATCGTTTTCTGCCTGCAATGCATCGTGGGACGTTCCACCGAGGTGATCTCCGGACAGTCGTCTCCATGGCAACCACATCCCTTGCCCAGTTCGACCTGGCAGCTACAGAACCGAACCTCTGTGGAGACGTTTCCCCGTCACGTGGGCCGAAACGTGGGAATCCGCAGACGCTTATGTGGGTTTATGCAAATCTGAGCTCTGCTGTTTCTGTGCAGATCTTTCCGGATGCCAGAGGGGATCAATATTAAAACACCATCTTTTATGAATGTTGGGGAGTGCAATAGCAATAGGATTTGGATTTGTTGTGGACACTATGCAGGGAGGAAGTGGCATTGACTTTTGTTTCAGCTTCACAAACTCGCTTTCCTCGCAACGTCACCCAGAGACTATTAGTTCCTCTTGACTTTTCGTACAGACACTTCATGTAAATGCGTTTCTGGGACATTTAAAGAACAAAACCAAGCGTAGATGAATATTCTCTAGTGCCATTTTGTAATAAAAAGGTGTAAATCAAACAAAAACGTCAATATTTCACCCTAGATCAAAAGACAACGTTACATTTTGCACGTGAATTCTGTTTTTGTACTATTATGATTATTTTTATTGCGACTGATTTCATGAAAATTAAGCACATTTTCCTCTCAATGCTTTGGTGTTTTTGTAATTCTCTTTTAAATAAATACCGTAATACACTGTAAAAAAATTATATTGTTATTTTATTCATAATCAATGTTATGTTTTTACATTGTTTAACCTGTTAAAATAAGTTAAGCAATTTTTAAGTTATACAAGTTTCTACTCATTTTTAAGTTGAAATGACTTAAACGTCTAAGTTGATTTTACTTAAACGGTGTAAGGCAGCAACTTCTATTTACAGTGTACAATATTTTATTCTCGTATGACAAAACTACCATGATCTGTACAATCTACATAATATGAATACAGCATTACAGTAAAATAATTTGTTTTATTTTGTTGCATTACAATAATAATCAGGTTTCATCATTTATTTATTTATTTATTTATGATTATTTGTTTGCATTGCACATTGATCATTTGTGGGAAATGTGTTGTAATTGTTATGAAAATATTTTTCTCCATTCATAAACTCTTGGTCCTAAATAAAGACTTTGTTTTCTTTATGCAAAATATGATATTTTTATTTGTGGGTGAATTTTGACCTGGACAATTTCTGGATTTGCCCTGAAAATGCGCATATTGATAATGCAGAATTAGATTTATTTGTACATATGTCTGAGATGCTTTGACCTTTTACCATCAGGTGAACTGGTGGCGTCTTCATTTGAGACTTGATTTGGGTTTTTGTTGTTTATTAACACACACACACACACACACACACAGACACACACACACACACACACAATGAATTATGTATCACATATCTGTTTATTAAGTCATTTTTTTAACAAGTAGAATTCAGATGGCATAATTGTTGTACCTCTACATATTGTGGATCGTATGGAAACTTGCAAAATAAGCGCACACTCATTCAATACATGTATGAACTGCGACCCCATTCACTGTGAACTCAACGTGATGTGGGATTCATGCCAATAATAATAAATGTATAATGATCAATATATATATATATTTCATGTCAAGTTAGTTACTATGAACCATAACTGAATACATCTGTAAAACGTATATATGAATGTATTGTCATGCTTTAATGGACATACAGTATCCAACCAATGCATTTTACTGTAAAGCAATAACATGAGAAAAATATATATATATATAAATGTGAAAAGAATTATTCCTGTACATTTGTCATATGAATATTTGAGAAAGGAATGTTTAAAATATGTCACAAATTAAACAATGTCATTTACACCTGTTTCATAGTGTTTTGAATACAACTCGACGTGAACAATTAAGTAACAGAAAGTCGAAGGGAGTGATTGTTCAGAATGCAATGTTAAGAGGGTTAATTGATACACTGATGAGTTAATTGATACACTGATGAGTTAATTGATTCACTGATGAGTTAATTGATTCACTGATGAGTTAATTGATACACTGATGGATTATTTGATACACTGATGGGTTAATTGATATATACTGATGGGTTAATCAATAGTAATCAGTTAATGTTATCTATCAGGAACTGTTTGTAGATCAGCTAGCAGGATGGGGTTAAAACTAGGGGTTGCCAAAACGGGTCTCATGGTCAGAGAAAGTGTTAACGGCCGTAAGAACTGACTACGATCTCTATGGAATTTTAAGGTAAACAGCTAACCTACCTAGTTCACTTTGTTATTGGCGTTTTATTCCATTTAAATATTTAAACGTTACTGTGAAGAAGAAAAAATATAAAACGTTTAAATATCAATCTGCACATGTGAGGGATATTGGTTATGCTAATCTTTGCTCGCTCCTTTTAAGTTATCTTGTGTAAAACCGCAAAAAATAAAAATAAAAAAATAAATAAAATAAAAAATCATGAAGCACATACAAAAGACCTGAACCGGAAGCGATGCGATCTGTTTTACAGAATGCGGAAGTAAGTTGTGCATTTTACTGTAGCCTATGATATCTATCTTTGAATGATTTGAATCCAACCTTAATCAAACTCACATGCCTGGAACTTTCTATTAATCCTGATGACTGATCATCTGCTTCAGGTGTGTTTGATTATGGTTGGAGCGCCGATATGTGAGCTTGAGACCAACTCGCATGAGTCGGTTCTTTTAATGAATCGTTCAAAAAGACGCTACCGATTCCAATCAGTCTGACAAAAATTTCTCAATTAATGTGTTTCTTGCTAAAAAAAAAAATTCCACACTGTAAAATGTCTTCATATAACCATGATTATCTTTCTTAGAGATTGAGGTTTCCGTTGTTTAGGCTAGGGATGGGCAACGATTAATCGCATCCAAAATAAAAGTTTGTGTTTACATAATATATGTTTGTGTAGTGTCTATAATTAATTTGTATATATAAATACCCACATATGCATGTATATATTTAAGAAATATTTTATATATATTTATTCACAATTAATATTATAAATAAATATTTTATATAGGCCTATTAATAACACATTTTTGTGAAATATATACTTGCATGTGTGGGTATTTATATATACAAATTAATTATACATATACACACACATATATTATGTAAACACAAACTTTTATTTTGGATGTGACTAATCGCGATTAATCGTTGCCCATGCCCAGGCCTACCTATTTATAATTTACCCCCTTTCCATTTGTGTTCTTTGTATTTCAAATACAGCGCAGTTTCTTTGCAAAAAAAAACCCAAACATCCTTGAAGTAGCTATAACTGACTTACTGACCGGCCATTTACCATTATACACAGTGCAAAACATCAGTATTTACATGTACTTATTCATCGCCTATTCATAAACTTTGTGTTAATTATATATTACAGTTGGCATACCCAATGTAATAGGCTATTAGGACATGGAAAATAAATGATTGGATTCAACAGCCAGCAGATGGCAGACTAACACCACTGTTTGAATTACAGAGATTTCGCAGTAACACATCATTGGATGAGGCCACAGATTATATTTGCACATGTCTCACTGCTTTCACATTAAATGCATAAAAACCAAACTAAGTGGCATTTGTTATGAATAATGAAGACCCAGAGAAAACCTCCTGTGGCCTGTTAAGACTTGCTTTGATGA